TGGTATCACTTAAGGTTACATTTTTATTTTCGTAATAAACCTGAAAATAATTCTAAAATATATTAAAAAAATAAAATAAAACGAAATCGTTTTTTTTTAAACCTTCAGAGGTTCATTCGCATTCAAGTATCATACTCAACGAGTCATGGTAAATGTCTGTTAGGAAGTCGTTTTGCGTTCGCTTCCTTCCTTCCTACACACTGGTGACTCATTCTCGTTCGTTACGAATTACCTCACCAAAATGGGATTTTATCCAAATGTAAATTATGTTTCGCTTTTTTTGCTTTTAGTTACACGAAATGTCCCAGTTATAATAAATGAAGGCTTTTTGAGCAATAATTTTTCGTGGTGACAACAGGTGCGTGTTTAATGTAACTTTTTAACATTGGGATTTTTTTTTAAATACATGTGGTTTACTAAATATTGTAAATTACATTTTTTATAATACACCATTTTAACGTAAAATGAATAATCATTCAAATTGCACAATTCTAATTCATCGATTAAAAAACAAATCCAATTTTGACGTTCTAATCCAACAAAAATTAAAGATAATTTTGCGTGATAAGGAGTTAAAATTATGTGCCCGTAGAATTTTTTCATTATCTAATGGTTTCGTGATAAAGCAACGAAACAAAATTGTTAAACTCTTCGCTTTTGTAATTGGGTATTTTTATAAATGACCTGAAATATTTTTGATAAGAACTTGACACGTGTAACAAACTTAAGCGGAAATTAAGGGGGAAATAGATATTAAAGCAAAATTCTAAGTATTTCCGGAGTAATAGCCGCTTTCCTTGAAGCGCATTTTTTGCTAATTTTTTAAAAAAGGGTAACCCTCAAAGTATTCCTACAATATCTGGTTATGAACCGATATATAAGAAAATTACACAAGCTTGGAAGGAAAGGAAATTTGACAGATGCTCTAATAAGAAAACTGACCACATATTATGGCCTGGCTACTCTTGGAATCTCCATGGAATCACCTTTGCCCATCTTTGTCATCTGGAATCATGGAAAATTTCTACGAAACAGTAATATTTCCTGGATGTTTTAACCATTAGGAAGACAGAACCAGAAACATTCACGTTTAGCCATGTTAAGAAACGCAAGGGTAAACTCGAATGTTTCTAGTTCTAACACTAGGATCCTCCTGGTAGCATCACTGCATCTGTGGCTTCCACTACTCGTATGGGGCAAGCGAAATCACCAACTAAATGGCACTCCAACGGCCCTGTCAAAACTGTCGTGTCGTGGCTAAGGACTTGCATGGAAGGGTAACGGCGCCAGCTGCTGTTTACAGCACCTATTATACCTTGTGCTGGAGTACAGTACAGAGGATCTTGACTTAACCGCGTGGATTGAGAAGAGACAACCTCATTAAAAACCCCAAAGTTGTTGTCTGTTAGCATTGGCCAAGAGGATAATACTTGGTTCCTAATAACCCGACTCTGGAAGAAGTCGTGGACCTTCTTTCCCTAGCTACTCGTGAGATCCATATGCAACATAGTAAGGTACTAGAGGTTGATGCAACTCCAAGCGCATCAAGGCAGAAATCGCCTGCAATAAGTTGAAGCTCCTTCACAGCAAGCAGTGTTTCTACAACAGACACCCTAAAGCTACAGATAAGCATTAGAAGAAGCTCAGTGATGCCGGACGCAAAAGACTTAAGTGACTGCTCAAACAAGGGATGAATTCTGAGGAAACACAAGCTAAGGCTTAGCATTCCCAGCAGAAGCAATCGCGGGAACAAAAGCCTACAATTGCTTTTCACGCAAAAAGATGGGAATTGCAGATTGCCTATTTCCGGGGGCGAACCTCACCATAGTTAGTTATTCAAGACGTAATCATCTCAAGAATAATGGAGCTCAGCGAGGGGCACGAAGGTGAAATTATGCCTAATTGGAACCACCTTTAAAGCGTGTTAGCTGGTGGTCAACTGCTCAAACCAGGAGCATCAGCGGACTGGCTAAAAAAGTCTGAAGACGCAAACTTTCTTCTTCTAGATTCTAGACCTAGTGTTAATAAAGTTCTAGTATTAATTGTTATTCAGCGCTTGATTGGTGTAGCATTTAATGAATTAATTGAATATTGTTATTGACAAAGAAGCCAAAATATACGCCGATAAGATGGAAGAACACCGAATTATTCGAGAAGAGCGATGTAACGAATCGCTATCCATAAAATCTCGGAAAGGAATGAAAGAACAGCTAGCGATAGAAAGTTCATGTTATGAAGAAACGGAAGGTTTACTGGATGGTCGTAGAATTGCAGACTAGCAGCTAAGTCATCGGATATTGAAAAAATCAGTTTTTACTATTTAAAACTTTAAACGCAATTTTCTCAAAACTACGTTTTTGCAACTCATGAACGCGATATCTCATAAACTACCCGACCGATCTTCCTGAAATTTGCTACACATACAGTGCATTTCTAACATTGCTAATTTTAGACATGTTTTAAAGAGCCACTTGCTTGCCCTTCAGCTGGCTATTTCCTGATTCTTTGTCTTTCTCTTTTTTCCTCTCTTCAACTGCTCTCACTTGTTGGCACCTGATATCCGGCAGATTCTTTTGATCTCTTTTAGCCGCTCTCTCTCTCTTTTCGTGTCTTTTCTTTGTTTTTCTCTTTTTCTTGCTTAATCTTATTTGGTGATAAATGTTAATAATATCTAATTATCACTACTTGCCATATTCAGTAAATATTATTTTTGTTTGTTCTGTTGGGTCATTTGGCAGAGATCGCTTGTGCGATAAAATGATCCATTTGCTGATACTACTCATACTGCTTATACTGTTTAAGTTTAAGTTTATCCATTGCTAGAGTAACAATCGACAATGGAATTTTATGTATATATCTTTGTATTCTTATTTGTGGCAATCCTCCGACTTAACACCACTGGATTATTTCTTATGGGGATATTTAAAATGTAAAATTTACGTGAATAGGCCACAAAACATACAAGAACTAAAGGATCCAATCACAGAAGAAATAGCGCTTATATCACCAGAAACCATTCGAAATGTTCTGTTTTCAGAGACAAGTAAATGATATTGAAAAATTCCTTAGATGTTTTTTATTTTAGTTTTATTTTGTTTCACATTTATTGTTCTTTCATGGTACTCTCATTTATTGAGGGTATAAAAATTATAAATCGGAATTTCTAAGCAATTACATTTACAAACCTAGGTATACAAATATATCACTGAATAAGGGCCGGTTGTACAATATACCGATAAATCTACCTGATAACTATCCGGCCGATAAACTTATCGGGAAGATAAAGATATTCGCTCTTGTACAAACTGTTTTTGTCGGTAGGATTGTTGTCGACGAAACAAGAGTCGGTTGATAGTAGTTTTTCCCCATATCTAGTGATTTGTGCCGTAGGTTGGTAACGCTAACGTCTTTGTTTGAAGTTGAATTATGATTTTGACAATAATTGTTTACAAATAACCTTACAAATAATAAGGTTAACGGTTAATGTTATAAGTTAACCTATGATGTGAGCAAACAAAGTTTTTATATAAAAATCTTGGTAACCATAAATATCTAGCGGATAACTGTCTTATCGGCACCCACCACTGAGTACCCGATAAGTTATCCTGCCGATAATCTCACCGACAAAAATATCCGTACATTGTAATACAGTACAAACTAACTTATCGGCCAGATAACGCTGTCGGGAAGTTAATCGGTATATTGTATAACGGCCCTAAGTAATAAAAATATCTCTTATAAAATTTAAAAATATACAGTGTCTCATTTAAAAAAAAGGTTTTATAATTTTATCTCAGAAACTATAAATTTGACAACATTGTCGATAGAAAATTTGAATTTGCAAGATTATGTAACTTATACTCACAAATTTATCTTTAAATTGATCAAGCTGTTAAAAAGATTTCTTCGTGTTTCAATACATTACGCGCGCACTGTATAAATAGTAATATTGTTTTCAATTTAAATGTATTCCCAAGTAATTCAAACTGAAAAAAATTCTAGGTCTCCAAAGCGAAGCATCTGAAATATTTTCTATAAAACTTTACACGTGTAATAAGCTTAAGCGGAAATTAATATAACTTATAATTGAACAAAAAATGAAAGAGGAAGTCAATTCATAAGCAACATTTTTAGATTTTTAAGTACCCCAAAGACAATGAGGTATAGATTCGTGAGCTCAATGGTTCACGATTGACCCATTGTTTCGTTAAAAAAAAAAAGACGTAATTATTTGTCAGACGGAATTAACAACGCAATGCGAACGCCATGAATTATTTATAAAAAATTTAATGTAACTTCTAAGAGCCAATTCCTTTCTGCTAGACTTGGCCTTGAAGCGATGCGACATTTTTTTCAATGCATCTCGATCACGTAGCCCCCAGGCGACTGTCAATTGTCACGTTAACATTCTTTTTTAAGGATACCCATGAATAGTTCCTGTATTTTTTTTTTTATAATCATGCATCTACCTTTTTAGAAAGAGTACTGACCTTTAGAAGGTGCATGGATTAACCCAACCCAAAAATAAAACAACATTTTTAAGATAATATTGTTAATGTTAATAATGAATTCATGTTATTTAAGTTTTGATCTTAGAAACATGTATCATCAGCCTTAAAGATCTGTTGTAGACTGATAGATAACATTATCAAACTTCACAGTGCAGTCCAATGCTCTTAAGGAACATTAATACTTTGCTCAGGTAAAAAGTCATTCAGATTCCAAAAATCAAAAAATTAACAGCAGGGGAGTGTCATAAAACATGTACAATGGTCTCCTTGTCTGTAATTAATAGTGCCCAATAAAGACACCCATTAGAACCTTAATGCTGCTACAAGCAAGTCCTAAAATATTCCCAAGTTTGATGGTGGCAATATTAAATTGTTACATTATTAGTCTCAAAATAACTCTTTACTGACGCTCCAAATACAACAATAATCAAGCTTTACAAAACCAAGCCTAAGCAAGCATTAATTTATTTATAACAAAACTATTCTTACCTTTCAGTTGTTGGATCAGCACAATTTAACGGATGTTTCAATTCAATTATTCCCCCATTCTTTTCTTTCAAATAACCCTGATTTTCCATGTAATGCTGTACAAGTTCTGAAAGTGTTGCAAATTTCTCGCCCCCATAAAGATCATAAAAATCACCGGAATTTTGAATTTTAATATGCATAACTTCCGCATTTCGTCTAAAACAACAAAAATAACAGCATCAATATTTACTTTACTCAAATTATAACCTATAAATGGTTCGAATAAAAACTTGTTACTTACAAAACAGAGAGAGTAAAGTCGCCCCGATTCGATGAACTGGGTCTGGCAAGAAAACTACCCTCAATGCCACGTTCTTGTAAAAGGGCTTCCGCTTCCACGCCGTTTATTGTTGGCCAAAACCACCTGGAAAAGATTAAAAGGTGATTTAAAATTGAAATGAAAAGGTAAAATGCTTTAAAAAAAAAGTGTTTTTTGTATGATAAGTAATAAGTGGTGAGTTAGTTACCTTCTTGAAGTCATTTTTAGTAATACGCCCTAGTAACTCGGTAGAAATGCAGGGAAATTCTTACAATGTACAGCATAACATGGCCGCCATATTGTTTTTACATACACATACACTTGCAAGTTGTGACCTTATAAAAAATGTCCCTTTAAATGAACTATTTAAAAAAACATTTTTTAAATACCTCTATCATTAAAAAAAATTAAAACATTATAACATAAACTTGTATTTATTTACTACCGTTAGTTTTTCTAAGTTACAAAATAACACATAAATTAAACGTTTTTACATCTTAATTTCCAAAGCGGAATCTTTTAAAACGTCCGAAGCCCCTTCCGCTAACAAATTTTGCTTCTCTAATAATTCCTTTTGTTTCGCCGCCGGTCTTAATTCCGCAAAATATCTGTACCATCTCATTCCTAAATGGCCCACGCCGTACAATGTTATTGCCACACAAGTTATTACAAAACCTTTATGTAATCGATCTACTATTATACTTCTCGACGGCGTTTTCTTCATTTTAATTTCGTTATTCTTTAACAAAAACGTTGAAAATTTAATCTCAATTTAAGTCCTAACCTCACATTACTTTTATTTTGACATTTAAATAATAAGGTGATAAAGAAGATTTCTGTTTTAGATAAGACTTGCGATTTATTAGATAAATATAGGATCAATTTTTGTATCGGATTTTCGCCAATACAAGGGATTAGTATATTGAATATTTAAAAGAATAACAATATTAATTAATTAATCACATTTGTAATTTATATCCATTTATATTTAAATAAAGAAGATTTCTGTATTATATGTATATTAAAACGTGATTAGAACTGTCATTTAATCAAACGTAACCTCATTTTAACCTCAACCGGTTAAAATTAAAATGCCTCGTTCTCGAATACAAAATAATGATTCTTTAATTAATAAAGAAGAAAATGGTTGGAAAGGTAATTATTTATTAATTTTGATTTAATTTATTTTAATTGTTTAATATTTTAATATAGTCACAACCAACAAGAAATCATTATCCATCTCAAAAATGAAATATTCTCGTTTATTACGAAGAGATTGTAAACATAACAGTTATTTAAATGGATTTAAAACTCTCCGAAAACAAGATGATGATTTTATGAAAGCCACACCGTTATTTGATGATTTTATTACTACATTAAATAATTTAAATTTTGATTTGCCTTATCCCATTGTTACACCTTATATTGTTGAAGAAGAAATTGATGAATGCGCGCAAATATTTAAAGAAAAAAAGAAGTATAGGGATAAATTAAAACTATATTCTAATGATTTTAAATTTGATCAAAAGTATTTAACAAAAGTTAAAGTCGAAAGAAGTAAATACATTAAGTTGCCACGGTATATGATTGATTTAGTTGCTGGTCATGTTAAAGATCCAGATGAGCAATTCGATGGTCTTTATAATTGGTATTATACCGGCGGTATTTTAGCTAAATTAACAACAAACAATGATGAAGAGTATTTAGTATGTCCATTACCAAATAATAACTTAAAAATAATTGCCATAAATGATTATTATAATAAAATTGAAAATATTGCAATTCCAAATTTTAATAATGATCCAATTTTGAATTTATCTATAAGTAGAAATAAAGAAAATTTTTTGATTTTGCGCCAAAGAAATTTAATAAACGTATTTAGTGTATTAGGAAACGATAATTTTTCACTCCTTAACATCTTTAAAACGTCAACACAAACAAAAAACCCATTCCTTGATGTTAAACAACTCAGTTTCAAAGAAATAGCATATTTGGATTATAACCGAAAATTGACTGTAACAAATTTAGATTATAATTCCTCAAAGAATTATAAATTTGAAAAAGAGAAACGTGAATTATCCGATCCTTTTTGCCAATTAGAACCAATTGATGAAAATACTTTAGGATTTATCGATCGAAATACATTGAGATTTCTTGATTTTCGATCATATGAAGAGCAAGCAACGCTTGATATCGACGATAAATTATTTCTATGTGATGATATTTGTTATTTAACTTACTTAAAAGATTCCCCTTATTTATTTATTGCCACCGTACATAACATTAAAAAAATCGATTTTCGAACTAACAAAATCGTCAAAACTTGGGCTCACATGTTAACTGGACAACCCTCTATGCTTAAAATTGAAAAATCAGTTTGGGACAATCTCATTTACGTGTCAACCCAAAAATATAACGAACGAATCGTTTTAAATAGTAACGAAGAAGAAACAAATCTCGTTCAATTAATGCCAAACAATTTCGATTCATTCAAATATTTTAACTCGATCGATTTCGATTTAAATTATAACCGATACGAGAATCGATTAAAATTTTCTACGGCCGGAATTGAAATGAATCAAAAGAAAAAATCGATTTCGTTTTATTGTTGTAACACGTTGGGCGATATTTTTCAAACGAATTTAATAAATTCTTCAAAACGTAAAAGTAACGATAAAGATTTGGGTGCATCTCATTTCAAAAATTTTAGGGAATGCTTCGAAAGGAAAATAAATCCTTGTTTTGGGACTCATTTGCGCGATTTGAGCAATGTTAAATATATACTTAAAAAGTCGATTCAGGTGGATGCTTTAAAGAGGTATGAACAACCTAATAGGAAATTATCTAGGTTTATTGCTGAGCATACTATTGAAGACACCGCTTTTGCTCATATTTGGTTGGATGATGAAAATAATACTGAAAGTGAAACATTAGCACCTATTATGTCTGCTGATAATAAAGTTTCTAATTGGTTAGAAGGTGTTAAATGTGATGATGGATATGATGAATGATTATAATTATTAAAGATTGAATTAATTTATTTTTGTAAACAATTTTTTAAAATTTTAATATATCTTTATTTAAGTAATTTTTTGTTTTAATTTAACTTCTTTCTCAATAATGTTAGGAATTTAATAATTATTTTATACAGGGCTACATTCTTAGATAGTTTAGAACTTCCATACAATGTGGAGTTTTTTTAGAGGATGACCAGTATGACCACCCCTACATTTTTAAATAGGAACCCCTGTCGAGTTTTACCTTATTTTAAAGGTAATTAATAATAATAATAATTCACTTTATTGCCCAACAAAGATGAATTACAGGACAATATTACAAGAAAAAGAAAATAAGAAATAACACATGCCATAAAACAAATATAATTCACATTTTTTACACATCGTTAGTTTACACATCCTCTGCACCGGGGAGTTGGCTAAAACATTGGATCTGCAATTCCTCAAATAAAACTGATTTGTACTACGTGTTGCACGCGTAGGCACCGAGAAAATGATCCGCGACAACAACCAACCACAATCCAATTCACCTTGCACTAACTTCTGCAAAAACTTGATGCACTGGTCATCTCTTCTTACGTCTAGTGCAGAAAAATTGTGACGCCGCAGCAGAGATGCGTAATCCATTCCACGATCCGGGTATGATCCGTCCAGGCGTAGAGACAAATATTTGAGAAATCTCCTCTGAATTCTCTCCAATATAAGTCTATGACACACATAATGTGGCGACCAAATTACAGAGCCATATTCCAATTTGGACAATACAAAGGTCGAAAATAGGGTCTTGTACACACCGATATCAGAAAAAGCACGCGAGGTGCGCAAAACGAAACCAAGCATCCTCGCTGCAGAAGATGCAATATTTTCGATGTGAGGTACAAAAGACAATTTGCGGTCAAAAGTTACTCCCAGATCCTTGATTGTAGATAATTTCTCAAGAAGAACACCTTCTATATAATAAGAAGATGGAAGAGGAGACAGCTTGCGTGTAAAACTAACTGCACCGCACTTATTGGCATTAATCTTTAGCTGATAACGGTTACACCATTCCACCAAGACGTCCAAATCCGACTGAAGACTGACAACATCACGGTCCGCAAAAATAGGTCGGAATAGTTTCAGATCATCCGCATAAGCTAGTACGCTTGATGAAAATTTGTCTAGAAGGTCATTCAAGAAGATAACAAATAGTAGGGGGCCTAGATTTGAGCCCTGAGGAACACCAGACCTAGCCGTAAACTCCATAGACGCATAACCGTTGTAGTACACATAATTTATACGACCCGATAGGTAAGAGGCAAATAGTTTCATAAACTTAGGAGATAAGCCAAAAGCACTAAGTTTATACAAGAGGACGTCATGATGAATCATGTCGAATGCTTTAGAAAAATCAGTGTATACCACATCTACCTGACCGCCCCTATCCAAAGATTCACAAATTACCTCAGTAACCACCGCGAGGTTGGTAATGGTCGAACGACGCTTGATAAACCCATGCTGATATGGTGACACAAATGACTGAACCTGTGGATAAATCATCTTGTAAATAATCTGTTCAAATACCTTAGCGAAATTGGACAATAACGATATTGGTCGATAATCAGTAATGTTGGTACGTTCGCCATGCTTGAATACAGGAACAATGCGTGAGCGCTTCCAAAGTTTAGGAAACGAGCAAGTGCTTAAGGATAGGTTAATTATTAAATGAAGCGGAACTGCAAAAACTGCACAGCAATCACGAATGAAAAATGCAGGAAGATCATCATCACCAGCAGTAAATTTATTAGGTAACCTTTTTAGGAAATGAAGAACCTCTTCTTCGGTGACATCGGCAACAAATACTGGAGGATACGTAGAGTGTACATCAACCATGTTATAAGCAGAGACACCAGAATATACTCCAGAGAATTGATCTGCAAAAGCATTAACTATTTTTTCAGGATCAGTGTAGGTGGACTTATCACGCATCATTTTTCCAGGAAGTCGAGAGGTCGTTGTTTTCTGTCTTATATAATTCCAAAAGTTACGGGGATCAGAACTAAGCGATTGTTCAGCACTAATAGTAAAGGAAGTATACGCATCAGAGATTTTCTGTTTAGTCAAACATCTCAGTCTTTTATATTCCGCTGAATAGAAAGCACTATTGCTTCTCCTCCACTTCCTCCTATAATACTCTTTCAACTTTAATAGCCGCTTAATTTCTGGGGTGTACCAAATAGGGTATGAGGATCCCCGACTCAATCTCTTAGGAACAAATAAATCCAAAATCTCATACAATTTTTTATAAAAAGCTCGCAAAGCATCATCCGCATTAACCTCCACATTTAGAAATAAAAAATAAGTAATTGAAAAAGAAATACAACCCCGATATCTTAATTAATGTTTCCAAGAATTATGAGGTTTTATTTCGACTGTTGATTTAGAAATCGGTGGCCACGAATCATTAAAAGAATGATTCTTTCTTTTTCGGTTGGTTTTTGCACCATTTTTGGAATTAATAAAAGCAAATTTTAGAAAACAAGTTTGTTTTAACTAAATAATATTAAAAGAAGATAAGTAGACTTAAATTTAATAAGAGAGAGATAGTTAAACAAAAGTTAAAACACGTAGTTAAACAAAATAAACTTGTTTTCTAAAATTTGCTTTTATTAACTCCAAAAATGGCGCAAAAACTGACCGAAAAAGAAAGAATCACTCTTTTAATGATTCGAGGCTCTGGGGATAGAACAAGATCTTACGATGAAGTGCGGCACGTCTTCAATGATTTTTTTCATCAACGACCACCGATTTCATATCAACAGTCGAAAAAACTGTAGGAAGATTTCAAGAAGAGGGAACTGTGAAAGATCTTCCGAGAACTTGTATACCGAAATCTGCAACAACTCGAGAAAAAACCGAAGAAGTGTTACTGTCTTTTATTGAAGAACCCTCAAGTCCCTTATTAAAAGCGTCTCAGGTACATGAAATTGGTAAAAGTGCTGTCCACAGAATTTTGAACAGAAATAACCATTTTCACCTAGTTCAGAATTCTGTGAAATAGTACGTGAAAAATGTCATATTGACAGAAATTTTCTATTGAATGTTGTTAATAGGCACAATTGTTGTTATTGGAGTGACGAAAATCCACGTTTAATAAGAGAATGGGCTGGTATTATAGGAGAGAATGTAATTGGTCCATTTTTTATTAATGGAAATTTGGACTGAGACAGATATCTGCAACTGTTGAAAATCAAGTGGTTCCAAGTGTATGCGTATGCCCTAATGGTATTGACAATAAGTGGTTCCAACAAAATGGTGCTCTTCCACATATTCTCCTGATCTTAACACCACTCGATTTTTGGGGATTTCTGAAAAGTAGAGTGTATGCAACAAAACCAGAATTAATAAATGATCTGGAAAATCGCATACTTGATGAAACCACTAATATCACTAGGGATATGCTCCTGATGGTTCAAAATTCCATTTATGAGCGTTTGGGTCATTGTGAGACCGAAGACAATTTGAACATTTCTTATAAAAATCGTAATAAACGTGCAAAATACATGAAAACATTTTATTTTCCCATTTGGTAGTCATAATTTTTAAAAGGTTTAAGATATTGGGTTTTGGGTTATGAGGTTGTGTTTCTTTTTTCATTACCTTTAAAATAAGGTATAACTCTACAGGAGTTGTTGTTTAAAAATGTTGGGTTGGTCATCCCTTAAAAAAACTCCACATTGCATGGAATTTCTAAACTATCTAAAAATTTGTGCCTCTGCTCTCCAACTCGTTTCACAGCGTTGAGCCTTCCTTTCTTTGTATTTCCTCTGTTGAGTACTGTAATCTGATATAATATTCTCTTCTTTCTTGTTGTCCATATTCCTCCACCGCAAGCTTAACATTCTTTCAACTCTCTCCCAAAATCTGTCGCTCCTCTGCTCAAGCCCATCTTTATAATTTATCGTTTGCTCATGATCATGAACAGTTTCAAGTTGATATAATCTTAATCACTGAATCTCCGCCGCAAGCGACTACGACTTAATTAGTCCAAAGATCTACAGCTTTATCTGATAAAGCCGAGACTTGCGGCACAAAATGATGACCAGTTTCAGGTTGAAATAATCTTAATCACTCAGCCTTGACCGCAAGCAACCTCGATTTAATTAGTCAAAAGATCTACAAGTCTGATTGATAAAGCCAGTGATAATGACCAGTTTACGACAAATCAATTTTAGGTTGATATAAAGTTAATTATTGAACCTCTGTCGCAAGCAACCTTGGCTTAATTAGTCAAAGCATCTACAATTTCACCTAATATGTATATCTGAGAAGCTGTAATATTACGATATATGTACTAAGTTTTTGGTGAGCACAAAAACACCAAAAAGCACCTACGGTCGTCGATATCACAAGCTATTTGCCAAGCTGTACCAAACTGCAATATAAGTTGATGAGCTATTCCTGTGGATCTTCCCTTGTAAGAATGGACTTTAGAATTTTGAAGATTCCACCTCCATACATTATCACACTCCTCACCTATTCATCAAACATTATTTTCCGCCTGCATAAATCTTTTTCAAATATTTGTTAATGCAGCTCCATATTTGCACCAATAATCTACTTGCCTTTCTAACTCTGTCTAGTATGAGCCCCTCCCCATTATCCACTTGAAAGGTAAAACCCAAGGAAGTAAATTCTCTTACATCCTCCACCTTTCCCCGCTTCCATTCCCACTTGTCCCTTTTTCGTCTCCCAACCTTGGAAAATTTTATAATCTTCGTCTTTTCAATATTTACCTCTCAAATCTTTCTCCTCAAGGTATGTCTCCATCGATTTCATCAGCCTCTATGAATGTATCTTTTCCGCTCTTACCAGTACTCCTCCATTCTGTCTTTTCTTTAATCTCTCTTCCATATCCTTCGTATACGCTGCGAATAAAATTGGGCGTAACGAGCTACTTACACACTTCATGCTTTTCTGTTTTTGAGCTCTTTGCATCGTTGTACCGCATCGTTGTAGTCGTTATCTCCCTCCTCTAAAATCTCTGAGTTTCTAGCGTTGAACCATAGTTCTCTATAGTGCTGTTTCCATCGATCCTTATCTATTACATTTACCCTTAATGTGTCTTTCTCATCCTTATTCAGTTGTCTGAGAATTTTGTATGCATATTCTTGCCTATCATGGACTTCGTTTGCGGCGTTGTGGATTATCTTTTTCAAGTTTTCCCGTTCAGCTTCGATTTCATCTGCCGTTATTATTGATTGCAAGTAGTTCGCTAATCTTGTTTGATATAAATATTTGATACCATCATCTTGTAATAGATAGGTTTGATATGTTTCTTATTTTTTGCTTGTTCCTGTCTGTGACCCATGGACGTGGTGTTGCGATTTCAGCTTCTAGCAAATAATATTTGATTCTCTATAGACATCTGCATCAAACAAGAATCGTTTTTGGAAGAAAGTATTGATTATTTTCAGATCGTTCTAGGCCGTAAATTCTTAGATCATATTATAAATAAGTATTCTAAAATGTTAAACCCACAACAGATTGAAATATAGGGGAAATAATACAAAAAAATATAGATTAACAGTTTAATACACAGTATTTCTACAATACGTTTTTCTCTATAATAAATATATGGCATTTTTATACATATTCATTACTTTAACAATAAAAAGGAATGTTAACGACCTCTAGTTAAATGACTAGTACTTTGACTAAAATAATAGTTTAAATTGTTTTTATTTTAATTTTTTTCTGTTTATCCTTCGTTAGTCAGTAATGAATACATTTTCATAATAAATGTAAGGAGATTAGCTCAAATAGTGTAGTAGTAGCAATAATAGTTTGTTTTTTTCTTACAACAATAAATAGATTTACAATATTCATCTTTCTTTTTAATCTCTGAAAAGCGTCGATACCCATTCACCCAATAGTACGCAATAAATAATATTTACACTTCTTCTAAAATCACAATATAATCTAGAATAAATGTACAAAATTAAGATTCTTGACGGGTCATAAGTTATTATTAAAATAAGGAATGATGTTAAACTACTTAATAAATAAATTAAGAAAAAAATTGGTTGAAGTCTTTTAAAACACTTTCTTAAAAATTCGTTTTATTGTCCCTTTCCGATCTTTTTTAGGCGACGAATTTTTTTTAACATCTCCCGAAACTACATTAACACAACCAGCATCCGATGATCTTGAAGGACTCGATTCTCGCGTTTCTTCCCGTTCGGTATCACCATTTACGAATGATTCATTAGTGGATCGTCGTTTCATTCGTATTTCACCAGCTGTTTTTATATAATCGGGAATAACATTTGGTTGGGCCGATAAATCCTCCAACGGACTATTTTCGCACTCATCCAAAACGATAGGAACATCCTCTATTTCACTTCGCAGCGAAATGTTATTATCAATAACAATTTGAGCCGGAGCCGAATCCAATCGCTTAAAAACGTTTGTATCCGAATTAACATTTCTGGTTTCATGTTCGTTGTCGGTGTTTTCTTCGGGAAGCACATCAAAAGACGTTGATCGACTCATCGGTTTTTTCTTTTTTCGTTTTCGATCTTTAACTTTCTTTTTAACGTCTTCGTTGTTACGCATTAAATCTTTATAAGAACCGCTTATTTTTAAAGCTTCCTCGCTGGGTCGTCTTATTTTTTTGGGGGGAATTGTATGGTTTACGACAGCGATGGATTGACGACGCTGTATTTTAGTATTTGGCGTAATTCCGGCGTGTTTAGGTTCAACTCTTCGGCAAAATGTAAGAATACCAAAAATAAGAACAAGAAAAATAATGATCCAATATGTTGCTCGAATCCAATTATTTTTTTCTTCAGCTAATGTATAAACCATGGCTGATAACTCGCTGATTTGTTCTTCTAATTTTTTGTTGTGTTCATCGCGCTTTTTACTTTCTTCGTTGAGACTTACTAAAGTTTTATCTAATAATCTTTGCATTTCTTCGACTTGCTTTTTATATCTTCGACTTAATTCTTCTAAATATTGACTTGATAAAGACATATTTCTTTCTAGGGCTTTTATTCGGTTTGAAAGTCGCAAAAACACCGATTCTTTAGCTTGAGGAGTCGTACTGGGTGTTGGTAAATTATTATTATTATTATTTAAGTTATTTAATTCGTTTAAAATGTCAATATCTTCGGAACTCTCCGTTGTTATTTCAATATCTGTTAAATTATACTCAATTTCCTTCTCCTCAATATTTACAGTTTTATTTTCTGTATTTATAGTTGGTTGTTCTGTTGGTTGAACCGTTTTGTCGTCTTTAACTTCCGGTGTTAAATGTGTTATTATATCATTATCAGGTGTTAATGTTTTTGTTGGTTTTATTTGTGATGTTGATGTATTTACGTCGGTTGGAATGGAAGTTATTTGTATTTTTTCTGTCGTTAACTTTTCCGTTGGTTGAACAATTTCCTCCGTTTTATTTAAATTAGGTTTCTTTTCGTTAATTTCTAATTCTTTAGGAACTTCTTTAGTAACATTTGGAAATTGTTTACTAATATTTAAAACAACTTTATTCTCTAAAACGGCGGCTGTATTACATAACGCAGCTATATATCCTTTCGAAAACATCGAAAAAACAAATCGATTAAAAATTTTTGATTCATTTTTTCGCTTTGATTTAAAATCCAAACCAAATTCAACGCAAATATCAGTGTTATAAATCGTATTTTTGATCCAATCGCACCGAATTAAATGATATAAATAATTTCCCTTACAACTTATTAATTCAAATACTTCGCCAAATAAAACTTCGCTACAATTATCACAAACAATTAAATGACTTGGTGTTGTACAACTGTGTACAAGTTTAGGTGAATTTTTTTCCGCTTCATCTGTGTAATTTGATGAATTTTGTTTGTTACCTAAAACTTCAGCAGCTTTTTTTACGATAGATATCACAGCATCCGTAGCTGAACTAAATAAGTTTTTGTGTTGATCCCCATTATCAGAATCTAAGGTTTCGTCGTCTTCGTCGTCATCTGAATTAACGTGAGCTTGATTTTCTTTTTCTAAAACTTCAAATTCTGATGTTCCATAAACTCGAAATAACGAAATGGGGCAAAAATGTTCTGATCCGTGATGTGAGTGTAATTCAACTTTAACGAATTTTCCAAATAATTGAGGTTGTAAATCGAAACTTTGGACGTCTCTTTCATCTTTTGCCGTGAAGTGTCCGACGTTCATCCAATCTCTACTTGGAAATCGATCGCTTACGTAAACGCTAAAATCTTTTGGTGATGATGAAAATAATTCGAAATTTGCTAAATCTATTTTCTTTGCTTGTACAGCTTCGCATAATTCAACGACGAACCATATCCGATTTTGACAAGCGTTTAATTTATATTCATCCCTCGATGATGATAAAACGGCGCTTGGACTAACCGCTTCCGGATTGGCAGCGACGATTTTCGCACCACAATCTAACGAAGCATAATTTTTTGATCTAACTTTAACATTCCCCGTATTTTTTCCATTTACTCCATTACTTTGTACGGAAGAATTAACAACTTCTTTTTTCTTTTCAGCTTCTTCTAGTTGTTTTTGAGCCCACTCTGAAAACGATGGGATATCTTCGTTCGCACCGGTTATATTTTGAGGCGTTTCCGTCGTTAAAACAACGATTTTATCTTCGACAATTTCTTCAGATCTATTATTAGTTTGCGTTTCAGTTATATTTTGAGACTCAATTTTTTTTGACGGTTCATCTTCCACATCCGATGAAGCGGCAACGTTCGAGACGAGATTTGGAGTTGCATTTTGACTAGTTTCGGTTGAAACTTCAATTTTATTTTGTAAATCGGTTAATGCAACATCTGATAAGGGAATAACTGATGGTTGACCCGTATCGACAAATCTAAAAATAAAAAAAAATAATTTCATTAATTTAATTACAACATGTATTTGAGTGGTTAACATAAAAAAAGTCGTTAAAGATTTATTAGGTATTATTAACAGAAGTGATTTTTATCGTTTTTAATTTGTAATAACATCGTTTAATCTCGATATGAACAATGTAAATTTCAAACAAAAAATTAGAACGTAGAAGTTTTCATTTGAATTCATCTTAAGTAACAAATTGAGATACATTTTAATGAAGTATTAACTAATTAAATGGGTCAGTCGTATTTATGCAATTTAAATTGTTATTTCATTATTTTAATCATATAATTTTGACGTGTAATAAGTCAATATTACAGTTAAAAAAACATATGTATTAGTTATTTATACATCAAGGCCGAGCAGTTTATCTTTAACGTGTTGAAAGATAGATTTACAACACAGGGTGAAACATTTAGAGCAGTGGTTTCCAAATTTCTTCTTATCGCGCCTCCTCTTGCCGTAATTTTATAATAACTAACATCCATATTTCGTAAAACTTATATTACAAAAGAATATTGTCTTCACACACATACGTTAAGAAAGAACAAATCAATCAATGAGATGGATGAGCTTGCATACTTTTGAGAAGATTTCCAATTCTATGTTGAATAGAAACGTACTACGTAGATCACTAGTAGTGGTGGAACGGATATCCGGCAACTATCCGATATCCGGCCATTTTTTAAAATCCGGCCAAATATTGACCGGATATTAAAAACCTATTACTTAGTACTCCACCATTCACAGGAATTAGTATCTCTTTTAGGTGTTGGACACTGCAGATAATAATCAAGTTCAACCCCAATAGGACTTTTTTCATGGAATACACCTTTATTTATGTGAGTTTTGTCTTTAGCAACCTCATTGTAACAATCCCAATACGATATATAAAATCTTTTTATCTCAAGAACGGTTGGAGCTACAACTTTTAATAAAGAGTACCTTTTTTGTGTAAAACAGTTCACAAAGTCTAAAAATATTCGCGAAGTTAAGATACAGCCATTGGCGTAGAAGTTATAAGATGAAAAATTAAGATATTGCAATTTTTCAGGATTTTATTGTTTCAACACAAAATCTTCTTTATCTCGAGAACTATTCGAGTTACAGAATTTAACAAAGAATATCTTTTTCATATAAAACACTTCACCAAACCTAAAAATGTTCTCGAAAATGAGATGTAATCAGTGGCGCAGAAGTTACAAGAGGAAAATGAAGATATTGTCATTTATCTGGATTTTATGGTTCTCAACAAAAATCTTTTTTATCTTGAGAACGGTTAGAGATACAACTTCTAATAAAGAGTACCTTTTTATGTAAAGCTCCTCACACAGTCTAAAAATATTCTCGAAGTTAAGATACAGCCATTGGGGTAGAAGTTATAAGACGAAAAATTAAGATATTGCAATTTTTCAGGATTTTATTGTTTTCAACACAAAATCTTCTTTATCTCGAGAACTATTCCAGTTACAGAATTTAACGAAGAATACCTTTTTTATATAAAACACTTCACCCAACCTAAAGATGTTCTCGAAAATGAGATATAACCAGTGGTGCAGAAGTTACAAGAGGAAAATGAAAATATTGACATTTATATGGATTTTATGGTTCTCAACAAAAATCTTTTTTATCTTGAGAACGGTTAGAGATACAACTTCTAATAGAGACTACCTTTTTATGTAAAGCACCTCAAACAGTCTAAAAATATTCTCGAAGTTAAGATACAGCCATTGGCGTAGAAGTTATAAGATGAAAAATTAAGATATTGCAATTTTTCAGGATTTTATTGTTTTCTACCCAACATCTTCTTTATCTCGAGAACTAATCGAGTTACAGAATTTAACAAAGAATATCTTTTTTATGTAAAATACTTCACCCAACCTAAAAATGTTCTCGAAAATGAGATGTAATCAGTGGCGCAGAAGTTACAAGAGTAAAACGAAGATATTGTCATTTATCTGGATTTTATGGTTCTCAACAAAAATCTTTTTTATTTCGAGAACGGTTAGAGATACAACTTCTAATAAAGAGTACCTTTTTATGTAAAGCACCTCAAACAGTCTAAAAATATTCTCGAAGTTAAGATACAGTCATTGGCGTAGAAGTTATAAGACGAAAAATTAAGATATTGCAATTTTTCAGGATTTTATTGTTTTCAACATAAAATCTTCTTTATCTCGAGAAGTATTCGAGTTACAGAATTTAACAAAGAATATCTTTTTTATGTAAAATACTTCACCCAACCTAAAAATATTCTCGAAAATGAGATGTAATCAGTGGCACAAAAGTTACAAGAAGGAAAATGAAGATATTGTCATTTATCTGGATTTTATGGTTCTCAACAAAAATCTTTTTTATCTTGAAAACGGTTAGAGATACAACTTCTAATAGAGAGTAGCTTTTTATGTAAAGCACCTCAAACAGTCTAAAAATATTCTCGAAGTTAAGATACAGCCATTGGCGTACAAGTTATAAGACGAAAAATTAAGATATTGCAATTTTTCAGGATTTTATTGTTTTCAACACAAAATCTTCCTTATCTCGAGAACTATTCGAGTTACAGAATTTAACAAAGAATACCTTTTTTATATAAAACGCTTCACCCAACCTAAAAATGTTCTCGAAAATGAGATGTAATTAGTGGTGCAGAAGTTACAAGAGGAAAATGAAGATATTGTCATTTATCTGGATTTTATGGTTCCCAACAAAAATCTTTTTTATCTTGAGAACGGTTAGAGATACAACTTGTAATAAAGAGTACCTTTTTATGTAAAGCACCTCACACAGTCTAAAAATATTCTCGAAGTTAAGATATAGCCATTGGCGTAGAAGTTATAAGATGAAAAATTATGATATTGCAATTTTTCAGCATTTTATTGTTNAAAACGATTCGAGATACAACTTTTAATAAAGAGTACCTTTTTTAAGTAAAATACTCCAAACGGTCTATAAATACTCTCAAAAGTAGAATATAGCCAGTGGCGCAGAAGTTATAAAATATAAAATGAAGATATTGTCATTTATCTTGTTGCAGTTTCGTCTAGTTTTGTAATTCATTAATTAAACTATAATTTTTTTAGAGTTGCTTCGTTAGTTACATCAGCATCAAAAAAGTTCATTTTGTATCTTGGATCCAAATAAGTTGACATATCTTATTCAGCTTTCTTATTAATTTCATTTTTATTCAAATATCGCAAGAATGAGGGGAATCACTATATATCAATTTTATTGCTACAACTGTCAAATACGCCCTTCGCACAAATAAGTGCTTTAATAGGGTAAATACAGTACTTGTGCTGCTATGCTGGGATAAACTTTGAGATATTTTACCCAAAATTGTAACTTATCAATCTTGTCAAAATCATATTTGGCAGCAGAATCATTTTTAATTTCCAAAACTTGCTCTTGTAGTGTTTCTGGTAGCTTATCTATTTTAACATAAAAAGGATCTTGAATTTAACGCTGAAGTGTTGCAAATAGTTTGATATTTTATTCTTCATATTATCAATGTCCTCAAAAACCTCCTTAAAACGCATTTCTTTTGAGATTGAAAATAATTTGGGAAAGCAGGAATTGAGAGTTGTAATTTTTCAATATACATCGTGATGGTATCTCGATGATAAATTATGTTTGATTGCAATTTCAAGTTTAGTGAATTCAAGGAATCGAAAATATCCGATAGATAAGTCAATACTGCTGTTGGTTTTTTGAATTCATCTCTATACGAGCTGCTGAAGCTATAATTTGTTTAGGTACTCTTATACAGACTTAAAATTTCAACTTAACCATACATACTTCTTATCAAATCTGGTCCTGAGACTTCTCTAAACATGCGATTCGGTGTCATTTTTGCTCAAAGGAGATATGTCAGGTTCTTGGCAGGTCTCAATTACCAAGGTTGTAGCTAAACACTATGATTAATGCCATCTAGAATCAGCCAGCATTTCTGTTTTTCTGATCACTTCAACATAATGTTGTTTATAATCGAACATTATTAGTCATTGCTATTATGAATTTGATTGAATTTGATTTAAGTCTAATTATATTGGAATATACCACGTAGTATATGAAACCTTAGACTTGGTTACAAAACCGAAGAAACCAAGAAAATTGAGCAGAGTTAAGAATATCTTGAGATACAGAAACACTTTTCTATTTATTATTTGAAAATAGAAAATGAATGGGTATGCTTTTTTGAAGGTCAACACATCAATCTTAGAAACGTCATTTTTAAGGTTGTCAAATGTCATTTTGACGTTTAAGTTGTCATTTTTAATGCAATAGATTTTAAAACATCATTTCTTAAATTTAAAGTGTTATTTAAACGAATAATATCATTATAATACAGCAAATATTAATCCTATTGTTAAATTTTTAACAATTTTTTGAAACAATTTATTTAATATAGTTCCTTTCCAGTTAAAGTTAAACTTTCCTTTTTGCAAACTTTCTCAAGGACCCTTCTCTTTCCGGACCATAATTCGCAATATGATAACTGTGAGAGTGTATAAGAGTACACTAAATATAGAATAGACCAACAAGTGTTTCAACAAAGTGTATTAGGTCAAATAAACAATAAAATGCAAGCGTTCGAGTTCACACCAACTAAAATTAAAGAGCGCTTCCCTTCGTAATCACGCGAAATGACTTGTGACTATTTCACAAAGCAAGTAATTTGAAAAAAATTTAATCTCGAAATGAGATTTTGCGATTTCTATTTTTTTTAAAATAACAAAACATACGATAATCGTATCGATAAAGTTTTTTTTTGATAAACGGTGTTTTAATATCTATAATCTCTACTAGAACGTGTTTCGAGAAGCATTTTATGATTTAAAATCTCACATCCTCGTGAGAAACCCTAGAAAATTAATCCGCTTGGGAGTTCCTTTACTACCACGTGTTATGAATTTTGTTACAAAAATTTAAAACCACAAAATACAAAGATAACATTTCTTGTTCAATTTTTATGATTCT